GGTACAATTCGGATGAATATTGACCGAACAAATAATTTAATTACAATTAATATCTACCATTACCTCCACTTACCACCGAAGCTATGTAGAAGTTGAATAATTCCAGCTCCTTGTAAGAATCTTCACCATCGAATTGATGTCATCGTCTGTACATTTTTGAAGTCTTTTTTTCAAACATTTGAGGTTATCTTAACGGTCTTGTTTAAGTTTTTTTGGGGATCTTTTAAGATTTACTTCTTCAATTTTGATAGAATCACTAAACAATTACATGCTATTTTAATAACGTAATAGAAAATTACTTTTAAGGACAATTACTTTTAAGAATTTAAAATATTGCCACTGTCTTGTATTACTGAAATTTTCAAAATTTCTTGGTTGATTAAACTTTTTTTATAATAATGTTAGCTATTAGGTTTCTCTTATGTAATAAGTACGAAAATTGGGATTGTTGGCGCAGGTAAAATTTTAGTGGCGTGCCATAAATTTTGTTTGCACCAACAACTTTAATAAAGATACATGTTTACTCATTAAAGTTCAGTCCAAAAACATGGAACATTTTCTGTGAAATATACCCATCTACAGTTGACTATCCACTCTTTTTAATAAATATATGCTTTAATATTTAAATACCAAAGAAATCTCCACCCAAAAACTCTCCAGCTACATAGCAAGACTCATTGATAGCAGCTCTTCGTAAATGATAATGAATATTTTCATCAACTTGATTTGCTAGCTTCTCTCGATTTTCCTTTAAAAAAGCTCCTAAATCAGGATTTCCTGACCACCCCCCCTTTTGCCGCTAAAATATCACCTATTTCCCCACGAGCTATAGTAACGTCATAAACTTCTTTGGTTATACTAGAACCCAAAAAATTTTTGAGTGTAATAGTGAGGTGAAAATTCTTATCTCGACCAAGGCTATCTGCCGGACAACTTCTACAATTTTCCACTGTTTTTAGCACTAAATGACTAGCCAACTGAGCAAGCTTTGAGGGCTTTTTAATTGTGACATATCTTACTTCATATGCCTTCGATGTTACCGACATAAGCTTCTCTGTCTTCATTAATGTATATATTTTTATAGTAAATTAAATTTTTTGGGCGACAAGAAAAAAAAAATCTTGAGGTAGTCTTTCTGTTAAATTAAGTTTTGGACTCGCGATAAATTTTGCCTAGACAAAGAAAAATGTGATTTTTCATCTCAAAATTTCTTTTATAAAATGAAGATCGTTGTTACGACAAAATGTCGTTAGTACCAGTGTTATTACGAAAATACGTAATGATTGTCATTTTTATTTTATTAAACTTTTGCACATAATTACTACATTTTTTATGTGTTACTTTGTTAAACGTTCGCACATATTTTCGCTTTGTTAAAATTATTACCTCATTTTTGCGTAATAATTTCTTAGCTTAGTTGAGTCTAATAGAATAAAAATAAATAGGGTTATTCATTGTAGATAGAGGCAGATTTTCTTTTGCACAGTCGAAATAAATAAAAAATACCTTTTGCTCTATTGTTACTTGTTCGCTATTAATAAATCTTTAATGCTTACGACCAGCAACTAAATTGGCATTACGATTGGAAAGTCTCTCCCTTGTCGTAACACCGTTTATGCAAATGAGCTATTTTATGAGATCTGCTTGTTGAGGTCTAATAATTTATGGTACCATGCAAGAAATTCATAATTTCGTATAAATACGTAAAAATCATATAATCATTCAAGTTGTGTATTTTCTGCGTCATTTTACAAATTAGGTCGATTTTGAATTAAGTCAAATAAATGAAAAGAAAATTCACATAATAAAAAAAGTGCATAATTAAAAGATTACATTTTATTAATTAATTCTACCGTACAATGTATAACATAATCACGTTCCAAAGATGGCCAAATACCGTATAATAAATAAATAAATAAAAACATAAAGTGTCAAATATTTGACTCTCAAAATATTGTACGATTATCAAATTTCAAAGATCAGGCTGATCTTGAAATTTGATTGGTCAAAATCGTACAGGGTCAAATATTTACTTACAGGTTTTTGCTCTCTGACACTCAATTATTTACTCGTACCAGGAAAACATTTTTCATGATTTCTAACATTGAGAAAATAAATGGCCTGGGTTTTATTTGGCATCAGATTATAATCATAACGTTATATTTTACACGATCAATGAATTTAATTATTTCGTCGTGGTGCCTTGGTAATAAAGCATAATGAAGCAAATGCAATTTGAACCAAATATAATTGAGTACAATTTACCGAATACGGATACAAGTCACTCTCGTTATAGTTAAGTGATCCGTTCCATTAATAAATTTTTTTTTAAAAATTCATTATATTGAAAGTTTTATTAGTAAATTCACTAAATCGAAAGAATTTTATATAAATTGGCTTTGAGCTTAACTTCACTGTATCGAGATTTTAATTAGTCTTCACTATATCGAGAGTTCACTATAACGAGTGACTTGTATGACGGAAAACTTCTAATAATTACTCAAAACCAAGTAGATTCGTCTCACCTAATATTACATATTATTTATCAAAACGGAAGTATATTCCTGTAAATTATGAGGATTTCAATAAATTTTAATAATTCAAGTATCTGGGTTCTTAAATATATTGATCTATTAATAACAAATCATACTATTTTAATGTATTGCAATAAAAATGATTCGGAAGAATACATTATCATATTTGGAGTTATTATAGATTCACAAGGCAAAATAACTACTGAGTAAATATATCTATTTTCGAAGTACGGAGTAATATGATATTGTCTGATTTTTATATTCTCGCAGCAATATTCTATGCTTATATAATTATAATAGTAGTGATCAATTTACGATCGGCTATAGCAATGTTTCTAATTATTTAATTGGATAAAATACATATTATTCTCGTAATTTTTATGACAGAAATATAATTGTTTGATGATTTTGGTACTAATAATTCTTTTATTTGGTAAGGAGGATAATGGTATCGTTTTACCAGTATCAAATGGAACTCTTGCATCGACAAACGGGTTTATCATAATACTTTTACTGCAGTCGACGGACAGTACGTCATTGTTTATCAACACTACAATAAAAATGCAAAATATTATAAATAATTTATCATTTTACCAAATTTAACAGATCTTAATATTTCTTCATTTTATCGTTATAACGAATCCCAATATTCAATCTATGCGCATTTATAAAGATATCTTGGACCAATAATACAATTCTTACTATATCGATCTTACGATGACACAATAGTTTTATAAATCTATCAAATGTGAAGTTGAACTTTATTCACTAATTTTTCAAAGCAATATTTTGAAATTGCGATTTGCCAAAATAACGGTCTAGGCAATCAATTAACAAGATAAAGTTTTCTTCTTTTGAATTAGTTATTGAAGTACCTCTGATTATAATCCTATCGAACTTGTAATACTATTGGTTGCTCCGTTGTCATAGTGGTTTGGTTACATTTAATAGTACGTACAATGTACAATATAGTTAATTACACCGTCAATATAACTGCTACACCATATTACAAGTGCAAACTTCTGAATTAGATAATAATAAAATTGGTAGTCAACTATTATATTGCCACAAGCAGGGTTGTAAATGTAAACTTACCAATAGTAAGTTACTGGTAAATTACCGTAAGTTACCAAATTACTGCGGAGTTAAGCTTAATTTTGGCTGGCATTAACTT